CCCGATTTCTCTGGACAGTAGGCGAGGGCTGAGGAGCAGTGAACGACTCCTTCAAAGAAGTTTGTTCGATTCGGGATTCCAAACGTTAGATAGCCCAGTGAGACTTGTCGAAAGATCGCGATTGAAGAAGTTGACTTCACATGTATGAAGAACAATTTAGGAACGTCAAGGATGTCCTCATAGAGTTATGGATTTTTGGGCTTAGCCCAGCACAATCCAGTGCAAGCTTCGTCTAATTTGGGGAAGAGGTGGGAGGGAAAGAGGTCTGACTCTTTCCCCTTCAATAATCTCTGAGCATTTTTTGGATCCAAAAACGTTTCTAGACAGAGTTATGCACTTTTGATCTTGGCCCCGCCTAGACTGAGGATTTACCCTTACCCTTTCCACGATCTGAAACCACTTTTCCCACATTGTTTTTGAATGAGGTTACGAAGTTATTCAAAGGGTACCTCCCACTTTAATGCATGCTCTGCCCATCGTAGGCAAAGCACCACTACGTTCTTGGTTTCCCAGCACATATTTGACGTTACCCACTCTATCTAATTTTTCATGCCCTCTAAGCTCTAGTCGAATCGTGTTATGAGCTTATGTAGAAAATATCGCCCCCTGTAAGACGCTCAGCCTACGACGGATGGGTCTCCTTCATTTCATTTGTAGGCCCATACCTCACCTTCGCTCATTTGCCGGTGCTGTGAGAGAAGATCAAAAGTTTGCCCCTGACATCATCCACTACTGTGCATGACCCCCTTCCCCGGAAGGCGAGACTTCTCTGTGCTTACAAGTGCCTTTTGATCTTGTCCTATGCCCAACCAATCCGGAACTTTTCCCGCCCTCTCCAGGTGCTTACGCAAGTGATATCGAATTTCGTGGCAAACAAACAAACAAGCAAACATAAAAACGGACCAATAGATAGACAGACAGATGCGAGCGCGCTACATATATCAAGGATGCTTCACTGTTTATAAAGTAGAGAAAGGTAACCTCTTAGCGTTCATTCCGACTCCTTTTACTCTCTCCAAGTGGTGAGTTTAAGTATAACTTAGGCTATTACAAAACACATCACAGAGTTAACAACCAGCTGCTGACCAAATACTTCGAAAATACTTCTCTAAGAAATCTCTTCAAACCAAGGTTTGGGGGGAGTCAACCGAATTGTGTAGCGAGTAGTAGTGTTTTTTACAACGAGGACATACAATGAGAGGTTTTCATGGCTTGCCTATTTTGACTCGAAATCATGAGTTAATAGTATTAGGTTGGAAGGAAAGTCCTGCGACAAAAAATTTGAAGCGTCAACAATTTGTATCAACAGTGTGAACACGGTAGCAAGAGTGATAAACTTGTAGGACATTCCTCAGGCAATCAACACATGAGTAAATAAGGGCACGCGTGTGGGCTTAGCATTATTGCGTCAATAAATGGACAACATCCGATTCGTACTATCACCTTCTTCTAAGCACGCCAAGGGAAAAACGCGGGTGTAGCAGCTCAAACTATCAGCAGCCTAATCAATGCTGGCACTGCTCACCGATCGATCAACAATCGGTTGGATCGATTCACTGGAGGAGATACTAACTTTTGAAGTGACACAAGCATTTAATTTAATTTGAAGGAGGTTGAAGGGATCCATCCACTATGAGTTGCTCAACGTAGACTAGATGGACACAGCTATCGGTTACCCCTATGAACCCCGAAATTTCACAGCTATCGGTAACCCCTATGAACCCCGAATTTGGCCAGCGGGATTGGAGAAGGACGATCAAAATCATAAATCAGATCCCGACAGAGAGACAACGCATGTCGAAATTTTGCTTTAAACACGCGTCAAAAGTTCTACGATTCCAATTGGTTCCAGGTTGTTCACCAGTCGTACTCCCCAAGTGTTGTCCTTTTTACCTACCATGCGCTCCGCCTTCTTGACCATCCTGTTGTTAGAAAAATCGTAACTTAACGTGATCTGAAAACGGCAGACAATTACTTCTTTGAGTCGCAGCTTCCTCACTCCTGGATAAAAGGCATCAGTGATTTACTCAAAGAATAATATAAGGTCGTTGACCTCTTTGGTAAATATATTTCCAAAAATTGATTGGCCTGGAAAATTTCAGAAGTGATTTGAAGAAGACCTTCATTGTGTCGCAGGACTTTCCTTCCAACCTAACAGTCTTGTCGGGAAATACAATACAAGAACGAAGGCGACGACTAAGGCTCACAGACTTTACTTAAGCCAAAACTATGCCGATGCGATGCTACTATATCTATGACACTATTACTATGTTTGCACTTCTGAAAATATGTGAGTGAACGTAATACTATAATCACTAGATTAGTAGCTGAATGGTAGGCTGATATCATTAGCAGTGTGTTCAAAATTTTTCGTACACGACGTTCTGAACTACAAACTAAGTCGAGCAGGCTCAGTCGGGTTGGCCGCCTACACGGTATATGAGCTGTTACAAAGCTAGACACCGATACCGTTGTACTTCTGCCCCCCCCCCTTTCCCTTCAATAGCCCTTAATCAAATCTTCTATGACTAAGAGCTTCATAGTTACGTTATGCCTCGCGGTAGACCAAAGAAACCGGTGCACAAAAATGATGTACACCTGCATGAATTGCCAGAGTTTTTCAATTAGTCTCATTAATTATCGAGTCAATCTAAGGTAGAAAAATTCGGTTAGGAATGTAGGCCCATGTCTGCGCTCAGAAAGAACACGAGCTCGATTCTTGCGAAGCTGAGAAACCAATCCAATCGCAACAAAAGAGCCCGAAGTTACCAAGGAAATCAGTAGTCAAGCTGGAACGTTACTCATGAGTAGGGCGCACGAACCTCACCTGAGTTCTGTAGACATTATGCATGGACTCCGAGTAACGTGTCTTCCTTGTACGAAGAAGATATTCTGTATGGAGACCTTGAGACCTTGGATTTGAGATCGTTTACTAAAAGGTCCAGAGAGACCTCCAATCTGATGCAGAGCAGAAAACTCCATGTACTACGGGCAAAAACCGATGTATTAGTGCTCCATTCCAGCTCTGAAGAGTAACTCCATATACTCTTCAGGACCAGAATGAAGCAAAGGCTGAAGAAATTAGGAATGATATCAAGCTCCACTATAGGGAAGATACCAAACGAAATGGTGCTGCCGTTGTGCCCTAGCTCCATGAAGAAGAAGACTGTCTTCGCCGTCAACAAAATCAGTGATCGATTCATGGCTGTCAGAATAGACACGGAAGAGTGGGCCTACATCTGTGTACGGAGTGCAAGTCCGCTGTAACACAAAAAAGCGCGAAAACAAAAAAGACGAGTTCTGTCTGAGCCTTGATGATGTCAACAGATCGGTACTTGAAGGACGCTATCGCTATGAACGCAACCATTTAAATTGCGTACTACTGCTAGCAGCAGCAGACGATTTGAATTTTCACGTTGGCAGCGATCTGAGGAGCTTTAAGAAGGTCTAGGAGATGGAGAATTAGGAGTAAAGAAGGAAGAAAGAGACAGGGATCTTGAAATAGATGTAGTCTACGAAACGGCAAATTGCAGCAGTTCTTGAGAGACGCAGATCAAATCCTACAGCAGTGGAAACAATCAGAAATCGACCATGTGCTCTTAGGGAAGTCGTCGCTCAAAACTGTCACGGACACAAGATACTTCCTAGCGAGAATCTGAATCTGTTCCATAGATTTCTTCTAGCAGGCTGGTCATCGAGTTTCATCAAAATAGGGAAAAGCATGAAAGGGAATATTCGCCGATGGAAGTTACACAACGCCGAAAAAGAATTCCCCAAAAAGAGGATATTGGAAGCTGGTCCTTCAGATCCCCGAAAACCGATTCAGCAGGTCTGGAGTAATGCTGTGAAGGTCGTTCTATAGCGTGCAAGGGAAACCATGAAGGACTAGGATTTCCAGCATATAAAGAAGCCTGATTCAAAAGCGAGAAATTTGGAGGGGTTGTAAAGCAGGAGAAAGACTCGCGCAAATGTTGACAAAAGACGTGAGCTCTATAACCTAAAAGTCTATGGATGTTACAAGTAACTCTCTATCGCTGCCTGGCGAATGGAAATGGACGGGAAGTTCGAAGGATAAAAGTTCGTCTCACGGCTGGCGAAAGCGCGGCACCGGGCCATTCAAGATTGAAGTGATGAGGTGTGTTAAAAACAGCAACGATGCAATACTGAGGAAGCCTGGTGAAGTCAGGTGGGAAGAATACCTCGACAGGTAGAGGTGACGGCTGGCTTAGTCGCACTTTGGACAGAGGATGAGGTTTGTGATGACTGAAGATGATAAAGGCGACAGCTGGCCCCGATAGGGTATCACTCTCGACAAGGAAGACGCTTGGCAAGCACGAGATTAGGTGCTATTCGGTTTTTGTACAGTGTAACACTAAATGAGGAATCCAGGATGCGTGGAGAACAGTACTATCCTTCCCATTTCCAAGCAAAAAAGAGACGGGATAGAGTGTTTCAACCATCGTGGGATCAAGTTGACTTCGCACACGTAATGTACGATAGGATCAGGATAATAATAAGCATCTCTTGCGACATACATAGCTAAAGCAGTATATGTTGAACCCAACAAGGATTGTCCCTGAGTCCGACCCTTCTCTGCTTGCAACAAGTACCGTAATAGAAAGACCCCTAGATGAACCAGTGGGACGATCCTCTACGCTAGTTACATCGCTCTGATAGCGGAGAGTCGAGAAGAGCTCCTCGACAAGCTGAAGAAATGACAAAAAGTGTTGGTGGAGGATGTACTCTACTGGACGTGAAGATAGCCAAATTCTATGCGTGGAAAGCTGCGCAGATCCAGTCGTAGACTACTCTGAGGGAGCCATCAAGGTAGCGAGGGAATTCCTGCACTCAGGGGGTGACTTGGCTGCCGACGTAGCGTAGACCCGAGAGAGCACAACTAAACGCAGCAAGGACTGAGTGGAGAGGGTCCACTGGTATCGTCTGTAATCGATGGTACACAAAGACACTCACAAGAAAGGTTTTCGGACAGCGGTAAGCCTATGATGCTCAACGGCAGCGATGGTTTGAAAGAAAGAATCATGAAAGACAACTCATTCCGCTGGAATGTGGATGCTCAAGTGAGCCTGTGGTGCGTCGGGACTGGATTGGATCAGGAACTGAGATGTCACGAGCAGCTTCTTCGATGGTACGGAGGCACCAAGAAAGTTTTAAAACCCTCCGATAAGGGAGTGAATGAAATTGTAGCTCCAAGAGAAGCGACCACGAGGAGCGCCAAGAAGAGATGGCAGGTGTGTGGAGGCACCGCTGAAGCTAAGGGTATGGCAGGGGATACTTGGAAGGAAGGAAGAGGAGACGGCTGTTAAGAGTGGTGGACCCTACGCGACAGAGGGAATTAATGCAAGGGAGAAGAACATGAAAAAGACCGTAGTTCAACGCCCCAATCCGAAGAACATAGCACTTTAAAAAAGTTGGTGCAGGATTAGAGCCATCATACCACCAAATTGTACGTAAAGAGTGATTCACGCGAAAAAAAAATAGGTTCCTTCTGAAAAAAGCACCGTCCTAGTTGCCTCATCTACGAGAAACGCGATGCCACGTTCTGGTGTTGACGACAGCTACGGCGTCCATCACCCAACTCCCAATCTAAACTTACCAAGTAGTACAGGGTGTCCCAAAATTATGGGCGCCAGTCCATAGTAATGTTTTAAGGCTTCCAGATAAGGAAGACAATGGATTTTCTAGAAAATAAGCTACACAATGTGCTACAACATGCTACAATCACATTTCAAAATATGACCGACGAAACCACGAGCGTGTAAGACGCTACCTGTGCTCAAGGGGCATACTGAAGGACGTAATGAAGGACTATTCCAACTTCTGTTCCTGAAACAGCACTAGTCCTCCCAGCAGGATGGTACCCCAGCCCACATAGCCGAATGGTTTCGAGGTCAGCTGCCCAAATTCATTAGCGAAGAGGGTTAGCCATCTTGCTTTCCAGATCTTAAATCACTGACTCATCCGCATGGTCCCTGATTAGAAGAGGACATGTTGTGTTATTAGTCCCAGTTCCGAGTCCTAGAAAGCAAGATTCAAAAAAGTCTTGGAAGAAATGAAGGAGGATACCTGCGGGTAACATGGGAGGTGTTCGAGAGCGAACTTTGGGCCCCTATGCACGGGAATATTTTGAAAGGTGAATGTAGCATGTTGTACCACATGGTGTAAGCAAACGCGTATATAGATTTAATTACCATTCTCAGCTGAGAAGCTTGAAATACGTACATTGCCATGAATTGGCGCCTATAATTAAGGGACACCCTGTATAACACTTGTCAATTTCGCGGAACTGAAGCTGAATCTGGTGATCATAGATGACAATCATGATAAACGGCATTCGAAGAAAAAATCAACAGCCAAGAAATCAACAGCTGGAGCCAAGAATTTTGATCAGGAAGTTTGATGTTGCATGATCTAAGGACAAGTCCTTTTCACTATTTGGAGATGTAGTGCGAGAATCTATTGCTTTTAAGCACCCTGGTCTTCTCACCAAGATCGTGCTCCACTCGAAACTCATAACCTCCTTTTCATCTTTGTATTCCATCTTATCGACAGTATTGCATAACATCAGCTCATATTGTGCTAAAGTAGAGATGACAGTCAGTTCGTTTTTCTGAAATCATTGAAGGTTGGTCAATTCAAAATTGAAAAAAAATTTAAAAAATTTATCTAGCTCTACTAATTGTAAGAAACGGTGAGATTTTTCCACGATCCGGCACTTTATGAATTGAACCAAAGCGGTAAATGTGGTCAGAATCGCAGCAATTGGCAGCTTTGAAAGAATTACAGTCGAACTTGGGAACATTCCATAGAAACAAAGAAACAGAGGTAAATAAGAAAGAGATGATTGTTGCGTTCTTGGAAAAGGTAATTCTGTGCTAATTCACGTAATCGAAGACCACTACGATCTTGCATGAAAGTGCACCGCGTCGGTATATCCGAAAATGTGATAAATATATAAGTAACGTCAACAGCCTAATTCTCTGGTAGATAATAGCTCAAAGTTTAATTTGCAACTCGCCGTCATCCCTAGTAATGGTTCGGTCATCGATATAGCCGCTGAAATAAAAAAAAATAGCTGCATTCAAAAAAGGTCTGGTCCTCGCGTAACGTGGGGTAATATACCCGCCTGTGGAACGAAATCAATACCGAGCGAGCAAATCAAATACCGTCCTTGAAAGAGCAACTCGCTGTCAGTTCAAGAAATAAACTACCTGCTGCCAAATCGAATAACTTAGGCAAACTCACTCCCGTTCGTGCGATGACATTCATGCTGCTCGAAGCTTCTGTGTCGGAACAAGCACTACTGACGCTCGAATCCGAAAGTCGACGTGGTCTCACCATCAAAGCCGCTTGCTGAGCTCGTTCTGCCCTCAAATGACGGATGCCATAGTGGTTTGTTGGTAAAGCACAAATAAGTATAGTAAAGCTGCACTGTGACTGGGTTCAAGGAGTTCTTAATTCGGAATGGCTACTCATAGAGATTGGCCCTTTTACGGCTCCCAGCCTAATGATCCCGGACAATCTACAAGAATCCGATACTCGTTATGAAACAACGTTGCGAAATCCAACTCTGCTTTAGGGATAGTCCCTCGTTTCTGGCGGCTATCGAAGAAATAAGGAAGTGTGGAATGACGAAAACGTGAAATTGAGTGGAATCATACCAATTTCTGTGGTAGTTTTCGTCTCTCAAAATTTATTCCTGACTGGCTCCTTTCCTCAAAGGACATCTCGATTTGACCCTCCATCCACGCTCATCAATACTCACCAACTCTTTGCCCTTCAAGATGCTTTTTATAATGATCTTGAAATATTTCCTAGACCACATTAAGAAATACTCGGTAGCCAATGTTCTACCCATTCGGATTAACTAGCACCGAACTGTCCCACGAGGATACAGGCACAGCCAATCCTAGGCCGTTGGTCGAGTAAGCCGTTAAAAATTGCTGCGTTTAAAAGGTAGTTCGAACGCTGAGGTAGCTCAGATGAAATGTAGGTGAGATAAACCATTCAAACTTTAGGACTCTGCCTCCATTAGCAGTCCGCTAATCCACCACCACCTTTCATAAGAATTTCGGTATGTTTTTCAACTCGCGAAAGTGTTCAAGTTCAATCAAATTAACTTGTACATCGCAATCGAGCTTTATTCTGACCGAAAAATGAGGAGTTTCAGGTACTATACAATCCGAAAACTGTTGATAGGGTTGCAGCTGTGTATCTCGAATATGTTTTATTTGAGCTGTGGGCATGAAAATATGTTATGATAGCACATTCATGTCACCAGTCGGGTCACCCAGCTAACGCCGGGTTTCCCTTCTTCTTATGAAAAAGTTGTGATAATCGGCTAACCCGCCCTTTTCGCCTCCAAAAAAATTTTCGACACGAAATTTGACACTGAACTAGAAGAGCCGTGCAGGTTTCATTCAGTATGTGCCGAAGTTTATGCCTATAATTAGAAGTCGCGCTTCTCCTTTTGAATTTCATTTCGAATTGTTACAAATGTTGTCGAGTGATAACAACGCCATTATCAACTGTTACTGTCTATGAAGCCTCCTTTCTGAGCGGATATAACATGAGTTAAGGATCCCAGATATTGCCGTTTAAATAACTTCTAGATTCGGGAGAGTAGGAGTTATAAGTTTTCGGTTAATCACACACATATACAATAGCGCTTAAAAGCCTTCAGTGGAACTGTTCTACAGCCGAACTTTTCAGTCGTAACTCCTTTCCTATTGGATCTATTCTTGCGAAATTTCTATGTGTAACATGGGTGCATTGTGAATGTTTACCACCATTAACCTGCAATCTGATCATGTTCCAAATATCCCAAAGAGCATAAACTCAAATCGACTGAAAATACAGATGATGGTCCTTCTNATTTCTATGTGTAACATGGGTGCATTGTGAATGTTTACCACCATTAACCTGCAATCTGATCATGTTCCAAATATCCCAAAGAGCATAAACTCAAAATCGACTGAAAATACAGATAATGGTCCCTCTAGAATCTCTTTCCTTTTTGTCATGTCTAAAGTGTATGAGCGGTATTGATGCACACAATAGATGAGAAAACCCACATAAGGTGCGAATAAGTGCAGATGTCAACAACTTTACTTTTAGCAAAATCTGCCACCGCAACAAACACCTTGCTCTATCTGTGGATATTGCTGCTTTGCAGTCAAATAGTGTTGGGTAGGGTAAAATATGCTCTAGTTGAACATATCCAAAATTCGTTCGATTCGGTTTACTGAGAAAAAAGTTATGAACGAAAAAGCGTCAAAGCATTCCACCGAAGACTTTTGAGCGCTACTGTATGTACACACATGCACACACTCATACACAAACCAGCAGACATACTTGGTATACAGTGTGTCCCAAACTTATGGGCGCCAATTCATGGCAATGTATTTAAAGCCTATCAGCTGAGAATTGCAATGGAATATATAAACACTTTTGCTAACACCATGTGATACAACATGCTACAGTCACCATTCAAAATATCCCCATGAGCGTGGGTAGAAGCCAAAGTTTGCTTTCGAACTCCTCTTGTGTTGCATGCAGGTATCCTCCTTCGTTTCTCCGCATCCGTTCCTGAGTGTTGCTTTCAAGGACTCCAGATTAGTACCGCGAACCCGACAGGTCCTCTTTGAATCAGGGACCATTTGGACGAGTCACGTGGGTATCGTCGTGCTGGGAGGACCGCGAGCTGCTCTAAAAAGCGGAGTAGGATCAGTGCTCAATTACGTCCATCAGCACGCCCTGTAAGCACAAGTACTTGTCAATTTTTACGCGGAACCGAAACCACGGGCGTATTAATCTTGTCAGTGAATACCTCAAAAAAGCATCATTTTGCTGTTCTTATAGCAAATTTTTCTTGAGAGACTGACGGCTGATGTTCACAGCCAGGACGTGACCGCTTTATTCGTTGAGGAATAATTTTTTCGTAAATTTCTGTCAGTTAGAGAGAACGATGAAGGGCTGTGTGTCTCCACTCAAGTGAATTACTTTTTGGCCGACTTTCTGCGTTTTTTGGCCCTGCACTGTGTGCCGAGAACACAGATGAAGCGGCATTTCTGCTTACGATAAGAAGGATATAGAGCTTCTGCTAGACAATCCGCTCCGCCGACAACACCGATAAGTCCTGCTCCTTTCCGTCTTTGTGATGAGTCACCCCTAATCATGGTCAACTCGCAAACGGACCATTTTGATAGTCCTATCCCCAATAAATCGTTCTTTCTTCCCGGTCTTGGTTTGTCTTTGATTGAATTTTCTTCTCTGCATCGTTTCACAGCCTTCTGTACAAATACTA